TTCATAAAGACGGCCCCAGATTATGTTACTGTGTAAAAACCCAAAGTAAAACTGGATTTACTAATTCCATGCTTGTGACTAATCTGAGCACCTTCCTCCGTCCTTCACATCAAACCATCTTCATTCTCTTCTTTGACCCTTAGGTGCAATAAACTGTAAACACGGCAAACAACCTAGCATCTTCAGCTCTTGAAGAAGTAGGGTAGTTGACTCTCACTTTTTAATTGTCACATACCATTTACCATCAGTCTGACAACTTTGCTGCACTCAATTTGCAAGGAGAAGAGAGCCCACCAAATATATATATGTATAAAAAGTTGTAGCCACCTGAGTGATAGGACAGCAGTGTACTGTACATACAGTATGAAGGTACTGTTCAAAATCACAGCAAGTTTACTCAGCAGTTTTCCCAAACTTTCTAAACCGGGTCTGAAACCAGCCAGAGGGATCATTAAGCACCACTTTCACATCCTGTTTATACACTGGAAATCAGCATCAAACAAGTGCACAGATGTTTCTGCCTGTCCTGAATGCCTGCCTTGTATATGAGTTTGTGGATCCAGTCTGTCTTCACTTAAACCAGTCTGTCATGGTGTCTAAAGGAACCATATCACAGTTCATAAAACATGTTCATTGGCTATCTTGCCGAGGGTTAGATTAGATATTTAACATGTCTGTGCAGATCCTCAGTCATCCAGGTCATAGTAAACTGAAAAAACGTAGAAAAAATCAACTGGACTTAGATTTCTAGCTTGAAGACGTTTCACCTCTCATCCAAGAGGCTTCATCACCGATTAGATAATTAACTACTCTTACATCAGCAAATATTACATTAGCATTCTATTTCCGCCACAGAAAGCTAACAAGCTGCAACCTGGAGCTTCCCATACCTGTAGCCTGGTGGAACATGAAGAGCTGATGCAGTCGGTTCCACTTTGCTTTTCCACTGCATTTTTTTATTGCCGTCTTGACTGATAGATTTTAATTTTCAGAGGACAAGATATGGATAATAGGTGACGGGTAGGTCTGACATGGGGAGGAGAGAGATATTTTTGAAGATCTATTTTAAGTAGCCTACTTTTAATTTTTATGCCTTTGCATTGGTGATAGCCGCAGCCAGAGCCATTATGTTTTCAGGTTGTCCATCTATCCATTCATCTGTCCTTAACGCGATATCTCAAGAACACCTTGAGGGAATTTCCTCAAATCTGACGTGTCCACTTGGACTCAGACATGAACTGATTAGGCTTTGGTGATCAAAGGTCAGTGACCTCACATCTGTCCCATACCCAGGAATTTGACTGGTCACTAGAGGCATACATCCGTGAAGTGGTAATTCTAGTTCAATTAAAAGTTCTGTGTTGTCATACATCATATGTTTTCATGAAATTACATGTCACTGTGTTTATAACAATTTACGTATTTATTGGCATTGCAATTCTGAAGTGTTATGGAAATATTAAAAGCGCTAAACATGTTGATAAAAGTTATTCACCGCATGGAGACATATACTTAAAGAATTAATGCATATATCTATAAACCTACCATTTATAATCTTTCTTTTGAAGTGACTGACTTATGTCACCTAGTCACAAATAAAGGAATATATGCATTATGAATTTAACAGTTATATCTTACAGATGAAAAGTGATATAAAGTTATGGAATAGCCTACTATCCAAAATTATCCTCACTACATGCCACAGAAAGTAGGCAAACTACCGCCAGAGCAAGAGACAGTTAAATGTTAAGAAAGAAGAGGTGCCTCATTAATTTGTTTTTCAATAAGGTAACATCTGATGACTGACCTGTAAAGCCACATGTAATAACCCACATGCTGGACATCAGTAACCTTAGTTGTCAAACTATTTCTGTTACATACAGAAATTGCTATACTACACATTTTGCTGTCAAATGCCTACTACACAAATGAGAATGCAGTAAGACAGTGTAGCTTCTCTGCCACCCAGTAAGCACGACCTTGGTCGCACTACTATGCGGTCATCTAGCCAACGACTGCCCTGCATGTTTACATGTGTGGACACCAGTCACTTGTTCTTCATTTATTCATAACGTTGAGTCAGTGATTCATAATACCAGTAGCATAGCTGTCACTTCTCACTTATGAATGTTACAGAGGGTAAAATGTATTGTGACAGATGCATTGAGCCTCTGTTCCAATATAATCCATCCTTATGTGAACCACCACGCTGTACATCTTATCACATATAGGTTACTGAATGTGATAATATGAACACAATGGCTACAACTATGCTTGCTAAGTAGAGCTAGCTAGGTGGCACATTTGTGAGTGATCACATTTCCAAAAACATCAGGGCACATTTCCAAACTGGCATTACTTGAATAGATTGACCACATATCCAAAAACTAGTGTTGCACTCATGAAAGCGTTGTTCCATGCCCAGAATGCGGTTAGCTCGCTGACACAGACCCAGCTGAATGAAGGGTGTGATAGGAGCGAAACAAATATGCATGTGCAGCCCACTGCACAACGCGGAAGCAAACCTAGAAGAAAAATACTTTTTGGGGGGCAAGTACACCAGGTAAGCACCTTTCACTGGGTAGAATGGGTACCTTCTGTCTGTTATGTAGGTTTTATAATACATTTATAGTACTGCCTCCTGAGGGGTGCTGAAATTTTGCTCTTCAAACCCATCTCCAAAGTGATCAAAAGGCAGAGGAGACATGGGAGGAGGGTTATGGGTCAATTAGTTCCTACACTGGAAAAAGTCAGCAGCCACTACACTTAGCATGTGGTGTCTGTTTTGCACTTTTTAATGTATTAAACAGACAAGATGTAACATGCTAATAAGTGACCCTTAGAGGTGCTGGTAGGTAGATTTTATCACTTTTATAAAGACAAGCGTTTGAGTCATTGCTTTTGAAAATTAAATAGGTGTGTGTTTGTGTGTGTGTGTGTGTGTGTGTGTGTGTGTATTTTCACACACAGGTATTCAGTTATGAATGTCACAGGTGTTTGCAAAAAAAAAAAAAAAACAGTGGTACTTCAGGTCATGAGAAAAATTAATTGATATAGTTACCAATGCTTACTTAATGCAGTTGAATTTTTAGTTTTAAGCTCCTGGAGTGAACTCCATTTCCATGGCACTGTGAGAACATCCGGTTTCAGTCATGTATAGAGGTATTCATGAGTGGGACGTGAGGATGCATGGGCAGTCCAACTCAAATAACAGCTTGACCAAAATATGAGCTATAACCTGGAATATCACATGCATGTCGGTGTGACAGAGATTTCAGTTACCAGTACCCATTTAGATAATCCAATGCCCAGCTCATTACAGCACATCAGCTACTTAGTGTACAGAAGCTCAATTGAAATGTGCCTGCAGTCTTCTTTGGACATATTTGCCTAGCTCAATCATAATAACATCTTCTGTCAGTAGGGTTTTTACCATTACTGTCATGGTTCAAATGGGGTCATGATCAAAGACATATTCTGGCAGAAAGTGCTCTTTGTGAATCCATTTACTTTCAGCATATCCCATTGCAATACAGCATGTTACATTACAGATTAGCTGCACAGTATGATGCATGCCTTAAGACTGATCTGAAGTGCATTAAAATACACATAAAATGAACATTTGTCACTATTAAGCCTAGAGAGCACTTCAAGCCACATTCAAACAAGATGTTTCAAAACAAGCAATAAGGAATGACATAGGTAAGAAAGACTGAAATATCAGAAGTGGGTTTCAGCTAAGCCATGGGTGGAGACAGAAACGGGAAAACCAGCTACCAACTTCCTCTATACCTCATTTAATCTCACGTGTCTTTATAGTGTTTTAATAAGGCTTAGAGCCATTACAAAATGCCATCAAAATGCAAATGCAATAGTTAGGGACAAGAACATTTGCCAGGTAAAAAGGAGCTGATGAGCTGACACAGCAAACTGAACTGTTGGCTGTGTGCATCTCTCACTTCAGCTTTTTTGTGATTTCCCCTCTGTCTCCATGGTGCAGCAATGACCATTATGCAGCAATCCACAGGATAATACCATAAGTAGCTACTGTACTTGGCTTCCTGTATGCTATTGGTAGGTCTTTCTTAAGGGATCATCTCAATGCCAGCTGCAAAACCTGCTCTTTCTATCTTTCCTTATTCATCCACTCCTACATCTTCTCGGTCGGCATCCCCCTACTGCTTTACCAAGAGCTCCAGATATACTTCATTCCATTACATTCCCCTGTCCTCTCCTGTTTTCTCTATACTCGCCTCTCCTCTTCCCCAGAAACACCTTTCTTCTATCATGCAGCCCATCTCCTCTCCCCCTTGTTACTTGTCTGTATTCCGTCTCAGCACCCCCTCCTCTACCTTATTCCCCAAACAATCCCTTTAAAGCCCCTCCTATCCCCCTCCCCACTCTTCCAAGTTTAATTTAAGTATTTTCCTTTCTTCAGTTCTACTTTTCTTCCATAACCAACCATCATTCCCATTTTGTCACTTCTCCTTCATATAACCTCTCCGACCCCTCTTTGCATCCTCTCATCCTCCACGCCATTTCATCCACCAGCATATCCACAGCTATTTTTTCTTTTCACTCCTCTTACCCTGTCTCATCTCCTCATCTGTTTCAGACCTATTTCTGCACCCTTGCCATGCTTTACACCCCCCACATCTCTTCCCACTTCTCTCATCCTTTCCGTTTGCCTTCAATCTACAGAGGATATTATCATCTTTAAACCGTAAGGGAGATACAACACCGGCGTCATTATCTCCCCATCTGGCTTGTCTTCTCTCTCTCTCTCTTTCTGTGTGTGAGTGTGTGTGTGTGTGTGTGTGTGTATGTGTGTGTAGCTTACTCATCTTGGGTCCTCTAAAATTACAAGTCAACATCTCAGATACGTTGCTGCATGAATAAGTGAGAAGATGGAGAAGGCAGAAGGTGATGAAGAGAAGAGATGAGGGAGAAAACGGTGCCATAAAGACAGAAAAGAAAAGTAGATGAAGAGACTGTCATACCTGCGCGTCGCGTCCCTCTCCACCTCCCCGGCTATTTTCCGTCGGTTTCTCCACTTGTCAAGCCAGGTGGGGATCTCCACTTGGCACCGAATAAGTTAAATAGTAATCCTTTTGGTCAGGCAAAATTTCAAACCAATTAAGACATCATATCCACTTTTCTTCCTGTCTCGCACCGCACAAGGCTGGTCGCGCCGCGGGGCTCCTGGAGGGGTGGTGGGACAAGCGAGGTGTTTCAATGTAGTTCCCGTTGAGTTTGCATTAAAAATCCCGGTGCGGGTACGCGACCGGTGGCAGCTTACCCTACACCAATCCACTGTCCGCTGGTGAGCCACTGGAAGAGAACTGTTAAAGTGGGAAATACGACGTTACACCGGCGCACCGCCGCGTTGCGCACTCATTGCTCTCCACATGAGCTCCCCGCTTCTCCGTTAAGACTCCGTTAATCCGTCCCTTAAAAGAAAATACCAAACTGTCGAGGGTTAATGGCGCTGGAATCCGGTGTTTAGTGAGAGAGTAGAGGAAAAGCAATGAATATAAATAGTAAGGGAACGACTCTGGACTTGATGATAACGGGCACGGCTGTGTTGTTTTAGGCTACTCAGCCGGTGTCCACGTACATGTAAGCTCTCCTACAGATGCTCTCTGCTCCTCCGTTCAGCAGTCAATCTGCACCAGCGTCGCATTTCACTCATTCACAACTCTTTGCATTTGATCTGCCCTTGGTTATAGAATAATGATCCTTTCCGTTTGCTTGTCGGTAGGTGATATTCCGTCTCAAGGTCTTCCACGGGTAAAAATATTTAATGACTAAAACTGAATAATACAAGTAAAAAGAATAGAAAGGGAAACTGCAGCTTGATAAATGGTCGACCCCCCCCCCTTTCAGCCACAGATGGGCCTTTGTCTTGACCTCCTTCTCTCCGAGTCGTTGGCTCCGATGGGAGACACCGGACAGCAGTGGGTGCTGCCCGATGGATGGAAACCTATGAAGAGAGGCGTTGCAGATCAGAAAAATGTAAGCCTCAAACAGGGTGATAAATTTCGCTAGGAAAAAAAGCCTGGAATCATTTATGTCTTTTTTTTAATTATTATTCCCTCCTTAAAAACCCATGTGATCCGCCATGGTGAGCCTCTCCGTCCCCTCCTTCAGCTACTTTCACACTGTGCTGCGGTGTGTCCCGGGAGGCGATACGCCTACCATCTCCTCTCCTTTCTTCTGTCCCTTCTCCTTCTGTATCCGTGCCCTGTTCTGTGTAAGTCGTTGCTCCATGATGACAAGCTGGTAATAACGAATGAATGCGTTATGACCACCATGCGTAATGCCATCGCCGGGGCGTTTGCCTAGGCGAGGCAGCTGATATGGTTTAGGGTCATGAGGAGACGGACACGGACAGAGGTTCTCACGGGGACCAGAGGTTCTTGAGAATGCAAGGACGTACTTTTGGGCTAAAAAAAAAACAAGAAAGAAGGGGTACATTACTTTAATGTTATTATTTAATTCGTTTTTCAGGTAGTACAAACACAAAAACAATCACATTTTTTAAATACTGGCTTTGCATGTGCTGCAATGCAACAAAATGGTGTTGAATATTAACGCTAATTTGGATAATAGAATAGTGTTACACCGAAGTTTCCAGATATTATTAACTGCCAGAAAACAGGCTCACAATTTCTCAGCATAGATAAATAGATGTGATGGTGGGCTCTATGGAAGAGAGACTGGCAGCTACTTCACATACATTTAAAATAATAGTTTCATGCTTTGTGAAAAACACTTATTCTCTTTCTTAATGAGAGTTAGAAGTTCAATGCCACTTTCCTGTCTGCACAGTAAATCAAATCAAATCAAATTTTATTTGTATAGCGCCAAATCACAACAAAGGTCATCTCAGGACACTTTACAAAGTAAG